GGGATTGGGGTGCAGGGTCCATGATGGGGGCTGTGGGATTGGGGTGCAGGGTCCATGATGGGGGCTGTGGGATTGGGGTGCAGGGTCCATGATGGGGGCTGTGGGATTGGGGTGCAGGGTGCAGGGTGCAGGGTCCATGATGGGGCTGTGGGACTGGGATGCAGGGTGCAGGACAGAGGGCAGGAGGGACTGGAGAGGCAGGGGGTGCCCAGCCCCAGCACTCGAGCAGGGACAAAGCCCTTTCCTTGGGCCTGGCAGCAGGCACAGGGATAACTCCCCATCCATCCCACTCTATCCCATCCCATCCCTGCGGAGCCAGGCAGGGTCACTTGGCAGCCCTGCAGTGTTTGGGGGTCCCTGGGCTGCCCCAGGCTCTGTGTCCCCTCGCAGGCTGGTGCATCCCTGCACAGCCCAGTGGGAATAATCCCGGTTCCTTATGGGGCTGTGGGGGGAGATTAAACATTCTTGTGGTTAATCGAGTCTGAGCAGCCACCCGTTCCTTCCCCGGAACCAGAGATTATCCCATAATTAATTAATTAGGGTGTTTGCTGCCATATGCAGGCCTGCCTGGCCCTGTCCAAGTCCTCTGGCTCCAGGAGGAGCTTCCAGGGGGGACAGTCCCCTCCCCAAAGGCACAGCCCCGGTGATGGAGGGGGGACCAGGGGACAAAGGAGGGCGTGAAGGAGGGGGGTGGGAGGGGGATGCAGCAGGGATGGAAGGAGGGATGGAGGGGGGTGGAAGGGGGATGAGAGGGATGATGCAGCAGGGATGGAGGGCGATGGAGGTGATGGAGAGGGTGGCAGGAAAAGGAGGAGGCAATAAAGGGGGATGGAGGAGGGATGGAGGGGGTCATGGGGGTTGGAGGAGTTGGGGGAAGGGATGGCAGTGGAGGGATGGAGGGGCAATGGAGGGGATGGAGATATTGTGGAGAGGGGATGGAGGAGGGATGGAGGGGGCGATGGGGAGATGGAGGAGGTAGAGAATGTGGTGGGGACATGATGGGGGCTATGGAGGAGCCACTGCTGGGGCCACCTTCCCTCTCCTGCCCTTTCCCAGGGAAGGATCCATCCACAGGGCCCTGCAGTTGCCCCCCACTGCAGGCACAGCCATCATGGACAGCCCCCACGGGCCAGCACGGGCCTGATCATCCCGTCCCTGCTGCAGCCCCCTCGTCCTGGCTCCCTCCCAGATCCCTGTGCCCTGGGGCAGGGACACCAAATCTGGTGGGCAGGGACACCAGTGCTGCCTGGCCCTGCCTGTGGCACTGTCCCCGTGTCCCCGAGGGTGGGTTCGAGGGCACCATAGCCCTGCTGCCCCAGCCGTGGTGCCCATGTCCCAGAGGCTGCAGGGACGGGCAGGCGGGTGCCACGCAGGGATCGGGGGATATTTAGGCAGGGCACGAGATAAGGACAAAGCGACAGAGGGACAGGGTGACACGGCAGGGGCAGGGACATGTGGGGAGGGGGTGACAGGCAGGGACAGCGTGACATGTCACAGGTGACCTGTAGGGACACGCTGACACAGGGAGGGTGAGGTGACAGGTAGGGACAGAGTGACATGTGGGGACACATTGCCAGGTAGGGCAGGGTGCCAGGTTGGGCAGGGTGACACACGAGGATGGTCCCTCGCCCACAGGTGTCACCACGGGACCAGAGTGTTCTGCTGATGGCTGGTGGCCTGGGGTGACCCTTAGGGCTGTCCCTTGGGGCTGTCCCGGGGTGCTGGGGCTGAGGGGACACTGAACCTTCCTTGTGCCCCTCCTGGGCCAGCCCTGGGGTGCCCCACAGCGGCCCCCAAATCAGCCAGGGCAGAGCCCTGAGCCCCCTCTGCCCCCACCCTTTGCTCCATGGTGGGGTACGGTGTGTATGGGGGAACTGGTGTGTACGGGGGAACTGGTGTGTATGGCAGGGATATGGTGTGTATGGGGGGGATATGGTGTTGGGGGGGATATGGTGTCTATGGGGGAGTTATGGTGTGTATGGGGGAACTGGTGTCTATGGGGGAATTATGGTGTGTATGGGGGGGATATGGTCTCTATAGGGGAGTTATGGTGTGTATGGGGGGATATGGTGTCTATAGGGGAGTTATGGTGTGTATGGGGGAGTTATGGTGTGTGGGATGGGATGGAAAGGGGCTACAGCCACTTGAGCCCCCCCATGCTCCTGTGGAAACAGCTGAGCTCTGCTCCAGAGAGATGCTCCACGTGGAAAAAAAATGTTGGAAAATGCCAAACGAGCCAACTCTCAGCTCTTGCAGGTGGGGGGAGCCGGGGGGAGCCGGGGGGGCTGTGGCCCCATGTACCCCCTGCCACTGGGACACTCGACACCCTCGGCTGGCAGCAGGGCTGCCATGAGACCTTGGGATGCCCTTCCCACGGGTCTCTCAGCATTCCCTGGCTGCCTGGCCCGGGCAGCGGCTGCAGCCGGAGCTGGACAGCCGTGGGAGGGAAGGGACACCCAGAGCCGGGGCTGGCGGGGACGTTCCGCCGCCCATGGGACCTATCCTGTCTCCTTCAGCACCATGGTCCCTGTGGCGTGTTCAGCGCTCTGCCAGGGCCGTGCCCAAGGGAAAGGGTGCCAGGGACACGGCAGGACCTGCCCCATGTGCCCTGGAGCAGCAGCTCCCCCGAGCCACCGACAGCTCCATTCTGCCCTGGCTGCACCTGCTGTGGGACTGGAGAGCAGCTCCCTGCTCCCAAACCCTGCTCCCAACCCCTGATCCCAACCCCTGATCCCAAACTCTGCTCTGAGGGTGCCTCGGATCTGCTCTGACTGGAGCCCCAGCCCAGGGCAGGATGCAGAATGGAGCTTGGCCTCACCTCCCTCTCAGTCTCATTCCCTGGTCCCAGTGCCATTCCCAGCTTGCTGCCACTGCCCAGCCCTGTGGTGCTTAAACCAAAGCTGCAGCAGGAGCTGCCAAAATCCTACCTCTGCTGTCACCAGGAAAACGGGCTGGGGCTCACAAGTGTCCTCGGGGCACAGTCCTGCCACACCAGTGAGGTCCCCGGAGGCACCACTGTCCCCAGGGGGGACCTCATCCCTCTGCAGTGCTGCTGCAGGGCCACAGGGAAGTGCACAGGGAGCAGGGACAGCAGCCTCTGTGCTGAGTCACCGGGTTGACATTCCTTCAGCTTTCCCTTGGGGCTTGACCACCTGGTACTGGTGTTGGCTGGAGCAGTCCTGGAGAAAAGCCTCTGTTCCCTGATGGGAAAAGGACACATCCTGGTGGGACGGTGTTCCTGGCACTGTCCCCCACCGATGGCCCTTCTCCCTCTCGCCCTCTTGGCTTCTCCAGGGGAAAAGGGTTTCTGGGGGTCTGGCAGGCATTTGGCTGCTTTCCCCCAAACCACCTTGCCACCATTCCCAGAGATCCACTGGATTTGTTTCCCATTTCCCCCCTCCAGGGCAGTTCTGTGGTTCAGCTCAG